GAGCCAAACCAATTTATAGAATTAAAAAAAAAAAAAAAAGGCATACTTTCGCAATTTTATCTGTCACGCAATCAAAAAGAGAGATTTTGGAAACAAAAAAGGTATTAGTTTTTTAATCATAAACCATAAGATAAAAGTTGAGCATGAGCAATGTAACAAAGGACACTCTTTTCAGTTTGGATTGGGAAAATCAAATGTTAGGGTGGGTTGAAACCTCAATATGCCCTTAATGAATTCTCATGCCAAACTGCTTCATGAAGTGCATTGTTGGCATTTGAGACCCGGACTGACATTTTATTTTGCTACTACGGAGTGAAAAGAACCAGACTCTAGTAATAACAATATAAATATTCGGATATATTTACCAACAACCATCACCAATATATAAAAATTCAGATATATTTACCAACAGCTTTAAGTAATGTTCATTTACTTGGATATTTATAACTGATTCTACTCTCCAATAGGTCTAATGTGTAACTTTATCATGAAATCATCTCCCAAAAATGTGAACCATCCTGGATTGACTTCATAAATTTCTAACTGGCTACCAGGAAATTGTGATGTTCTAGCTGAGTCATGTTACCACCTCTTTCAGGATCAAACTTGCATCGATAGAAGCTGCATTTTCAACTCAATAAAACAAAGTTAATTAGATATTTGGACAGGTAAGGAGGGGGCAACAGAGTGAAGAAAAAGGATCAAGGCCATCGGTGGTATAGCATCCACATAAGAAACAGAGTATACTGGATTACAGAATTCTAGTGCCAACTAAAAACCACCAGCTTGATTCTTTCAAAATGGAGAAGGGTTTCAAGACTCATTGATTTGTTAATTATTCTCAGCCCCCTTCTTTGGAGGATTATAGTATGATTTAACATTTAAAATTTCTAAAGACTAACTGGTAAAGTATCATAGAGTTGGTAACCAGCAGTTCATTATGGCTTAATATTTAAGAAAAGTAAGAAAGTCATCAGTTCTAAAGAAGTAAAGAAGACAAGTAGTTAATGCTACACTACACAAATCACAATTACCTCCCGTCCATGCCTATAATGACAATTGTGTTCTTTTGCTTGCCAAAAGCAACAAGGTGCTTCAAACCTTCAGGCAACCAGAATCTAGCCACCGACCATTCTGAGCTGAAATACTTTGGCAATGCACCTGCAGAAAACATAAAATCTCAATGAGCTTGACAGATAAATGCAAAAAGTCTGCAATCAAGGAGGCAGCTCTCCAGCGAAAGAAGTTTTAAATTAATACTTCAGGACACTGAATAATTCATACACTACATGGTACATTATAACAAGCATACAGTACCCTTTAGCATTGAGAAAGATGAGACAGCAGATTGTTTAGAAAGATTTGAAACAGGTGGATTGTTTGATCCATCATTCAACAAAGATTCTGAATCAAACTTAAGCCTGAAGATATGGACAGTTCCTTTGTTGCTTGAGACGGCTAGCCAGTGTGCAGGAGAAGAGAAAGCAAGGCTATAAATCTCTGCTTGGTCTGCACCTCTCCTTAGCTACATTAAGCAAAGAAGAAGTTCAACTCAACCAATATCATTCAAAAACATATCCATGTACAAATTCTTGCAAGCAGAAAACAAATCGATATTCCATTGTATTTCAAAGATGAGCATTCTCAAGTATAATCCACAACAAGAACAAAAAATAATACGAAAATTCCTTCAGAAAACCCATGAATTCCTATCAAGAGCAGAAGTTTCTATAGCATGCTTCACAAGAATTTGATCTAAACATACTTTTAGGACATCAAGAGCATCCAATGAATTGTTCATTTTGCTGAAAACACGGTGAGAAATCCCTTTTCAAGATAGCAAAATAACAAAAAATTCACATACCTCCTGGAGCAGAGTTCCATCCAACGAGTTAAAAACCCTGATTAAAGTTCCCTTACTGCTTGCAGTGGCCAGGACTCTGCCGTCACCGGTCAGAGCTAAGCAGGCGATAGGGGAATTATGGGCGTTTATGAACTTCGTCTTCCGTAACCCATAATGCTCCACTCTCACCTGACCCTTCTGCAGCCCCGGGCAGACCATCAACTTCGGCCCGGCTGCATGAGAGACCTCACACAAGCCCTTGGGATTGCACACAGTCTCCACTTGATGGGATAATTTGAAGTTCGAAAGGTTGTAAATATAAATTTTTTGAAGCAGGACTACGATTACGCAGCCGTGTAGAAGGCGGAGTGAGCGGATATGAGAGCGGAAGGTGAGTTCTCCAACGTAACCATTGAGGCGATCGTCCCAGAGGAAGGCCTTTGTGGGTGGGGAGAGCGGAGCAGAGCCCCCACCGACAAGCACAAATAAGTTGCTTTGGAAGAACATGGCGACAAGCCCGAGGCCTCTCCGCTTTCCGAATTCGCGGCTGATGCTGCGACGCATTGGGTCGGTGCTGAAGACGTAGAAGCCACTATCGGTGCAGACAGTGAAGCAGCTAGCGTCCTGGTTGAAGGAGAGGTGGGTGGGAGGCCCGATTGGCGTTTGGGTTTCCTCCACCGCCGTTGAAGCTACATCGGTATGGTCGGAATACGATTCACGTCGGGAGAAAGTATCATCGGAGGGGAAGGATGCCATCGGGCGCGGAAGATTGAAGGAGGGTTTCACAGAGAAGATTTGAGCTTGAGGCTCTTATAGGTTTACATTTGAGGCCTCTGCTTTTCTTTAAGAACTAATTTAATACAGTAATTAATTAAATTTTCACCAGTTTTTTCATTGGTTGAGTGGAGATTGAGATTGTAAAAAACTCTACTTTTCAACTATTTAGAATTCTAAATAGAGGTATAGAAGAATTAGGAACTATTAATATTAAAAATATCAAAATATATAATTATAATTATTAAATATATAAATAAAAAAATATTTTATAATCTAAATTGATTTGAACAATAAAACACTAATCATCTCATATAGGTTTGGTTTTAGATATTATCAACCTTCTTGCATCATTTAGTTTTTATTTTATAGTCTAGATTATAAAATAAAATGTTAATAGATAAAGAAAAATGATGTGTGCACACCCGGATTCAACATCTGGGTATGCACACTCCACAAAAAAAAAAAAAGGAAAAATGGAACACTCGGGTCTCCATTTTTTTTTTTTTATGTGGAGTGTGCATACTCGGGTGTTGAATCCGAGTGTGCACCAATCGTGGTCCATAAATAAAATATAGTATAAATTTTAATTTTATTAAATTTATTATATGACTATTAGTGAACATCTTGATATTTTTAAAATTAAAATATCTTGATTTTTTTTTCTCTTTTCCCTTTTAAATATCAATAACAATTAAATTAAGAATATAAAAAGGGACTAGTGTTTATTATCTAAACTTGAAAAAAAATTAGGTAAACAAATATTCAAAATAATGTCATTTCAATAAATTACTACAAGAAAAAATTAAAACAGTATTATTTTTATTTTAAAAATTAAAATATTTTAATCTTTTTAAATAAAAATTTATTACAGCTAATTATTTGTAGGTGCAGTTTACAAAACACTTCTTTCATGTAAAAATCTCAATAATATTCTAATCTACTAATTTACATTATTCAGCTTCCATTTGAGTTTGCAGTTTTATAACCCTTGTTGGCACATCACTCATTAAGTAAGTGTTAATTTTTTTTTTGAAAAAAAAAAAAAACCTGATGGATAGAATTAAATAGTAAAATATTAAGTGAACAAGAAAATGGTGAGAGGCACCAAGACAAAAAAAGAAATTGAACAATTAACACATTTAGCTATTCAAGATAGCGCTCAACTCTTTAATTTCCAATCAAAAAATAAATTTTATAAATAGCGAGTCATGATTAATTTAAAGTGTAGTGATCATAATTGGAATGTGAATTTTGTTAATGATATAAGACTCTTCTAAAATTTCTCATTCATCATGTGAAATTGAAGAATAAAATATTAAAAAAAAGCACCATAGAAATTTGAATAGGTAATATTAGGGTTTTTATACTCTATATTCTTAGAATATAAGTTAAGGGTGTATTTATTGTATTTTTTATTATTAATTTATGTAGAAATTACAAAACTAAATTTTTTTTTCAACATTAATATCACATGAATCAATTTAATTGGATAATTGATAAAAAAAAATAGAGTGACAACATTCGCTTGTCAAAACAACCAATAAAGCCCAAACAACCAAACAAAAATATAGAAATCAAAATAAAAAAAATACTTCCATTGTATTTCTTTTATAAAAATAAATCAAAACATATATATTAAAATCGACTCTTAAAAAAAATTAAATTTTAACTTTAAAATATGTTATTTAATTTAATTAAAACTCAATTTAAAATTTAAAAGTTTGTCTTATGAAATGTTGATATTAGATTTATAAATTGATTGGATTTATAAATTTCAAATTAAGATTTTAATTTTTAAATATAAGTTGAAACTCTAATTATTTTTAGAGTCGGAACTAATATGTATTAATTTTAAAATAAAAACAATTAAATAAAATTTTTATTAAAAAATCCTATTAAAAAAAAAAGTTAGATTAACATGTACATTTTCTGAGATTGAAATTACATGTATATCTTCATTTTCTTTTCTCAACTTTTAGGCCCTTTTTGGTGATTTGGTTTGGGAATTATTATCAGGACTAGTAGCAGTTTTGTTGGGCAACAAGACGGGGTTGATATTGGGGACTACTCCGCCGCTAGCAATGGTTACGCCATGCAGAAGCTTCCCTTTTTGGTTAATTTTTCCCGGTTAAATTTTAAAGGGGTTCGTTTTTTTTTAGTTCCTCATTTTTTATTTTTTTTTGCCCCTTTTTAAACTTTGGAACTTGAACAAACAAAAAGTAAACAGTATTAATAATGGATTAAATCCTTGTTATTTATGTTGTAATTATTTTTTAATTAAAAATAAATGTATTTGTAAATAAAATTTTAAAATAAAAAAATAAACAACTAATTTTATACAACAATCTAATAATTATTTGACAAAATTTAAAAAACACTTATTTTAAAAATAAATTCTTCTTTAATAAATTTTAAATTTTGTGAAACATCCTCCTAATTTACAAATTTAAAATTATATATAGGAGTATTTATTATAAAATCCAATCAACATCTCCGGCCAAAGATTTCAAAATCTGCATTTGCATCTTCCTCAACTCAACGGCAAAACCCAACGCCTCGTTCATGGCGACCCGGGCACCGGCCAAGGCGTCCTCGAGGTCCTGATGAGTCAGGTAATGCGAACATATCTGTCCAAGAATGCGATCGTACCTTTCCTGTAACCTCACAACTCTTTCCTCCGCAAATTCCAGTGCCTCGCTAACGACCCTCAGCTTCTCCAACATCGTCCGTTGCCTCTGCCGTGCCTTTATGATTGGCAGGATGAAGAAGAAAGACGATGAGAAACCCATGATGGCGAAGATTATCCTCGCATAATCCATGAAAGAGTTTTTTATGTTCTTGGAAGGAAAGATTTTTAAAAGGGAGAAGTGTATATGAAGGTGTTGGAGATTCGTTGCTTCAATTATGCCTTAACTTTTTTTAATTAAAGTGATTCAGATTTCAGACTTCTGATGAATAGAATTAAATGGAAAGACATGGTTTTACCATGAAATTTTCTATCACGTACTTAAATAGTATAGATTAAATGTATATTTATCATATTACTAATTTACATAAAAAAATTAATTTTAATTTATTAATTATTTAATTAAAATATTTCAGATAATAAAAATATTAAAAATAAAATTTATTTTTATTATTTTTTAATAAATTAATAATAAAAATATATAATAACTATACTTTTTTCCATTGCTCCTCCTTCTGTACAAAGTTAAAAAAAACCCATTTATCACTACTTAATACTCACAAAGGTGAACCGGATTTTATGGCTTAATGTTAAAAAAAACCCATTTATCACTACTTAATACTCACAAAGGTGAACCGGATTTTATGGCTTAATGGTTCGTCCTCAAACTTTAGTGTTTAAGTGAGATGGTGGTCGGAGTTTCGAATTTCACCACCGTTGTAAATTCCACCAAAATGTAGTTTGATGGCTGCGCGTCTCATTTGAGGGGGTGAAATGTTCACCCAATCTGAGGACCAGTTACTAACAATTAACTCATTAACTATCTAACCATTACTCTTATCAAAAAAAAAAAAAATGAAAAGGCGAAAGAGGAAAAATTCTCCGGTGCAACATGTATATTGTCAGTGTCACATTATCTAAGGAACTCGGTATAGCACATATTCATATCGTTGTCCATTTGTTTAAAATTCTTTTTATCGATAATTTAAATAATTTAATAATTATTTTTTTATTAAAATAAAAATTTTTAAATTTAAATTATATAATATATAAATAAAATAAAATAAAAAATAATTACTTTTCATTATATAATTATAATAAAATTTTTTTGAAATATATAAATAACTTCCTATTACTTTAATTTTAACGTCATCTCTTTGCACCGAAGAGTTTTTTTAAAAAGAGAATTTAAGGTCGTCTTCACCAGCCGTGTCCTCTCTCATCTTTTTCTTTTTCAATTGGGCTCACGTGGGATGATTTCATTCTATTTTGTCCTTTTTTTCTTTTTTAATTCGAACTTTATTTTTTACTTTAAATATATGAATATAAATTAAATTAAATAATATTTATAAATTTTTTAAAGAGTTTCACTTGTGTCTTCTTGTTGAGAAGATAAAGACTGTAACATTTAGAGAGACTCTAACAAAAACACTAAAAAAAAACAAAACAAAAACTTTCATAAAATCTTGTAAGTTTTTATTTCTACCTTCAAATTTATTAATTTATCCTCAAATCTTAATATTTAAATTTAATTTATTATAAATTCAACTTTAATTAATTATTTAAAAAATTCTTCGACCTCCTATAATTTTTCACGTACAAAAAAAAATTACAAGTATTCTATGCTCAGGCAGCTTTCAAATCATCATTATTCTACTTCAGTGTGGTTTTCAAATCAATCAAATCACTCACATTCTTTGGTTTTTTTTTGGTTTTTTTGGGTAAAAACTCTCATATTCTTGTTGATATGTCTTAAAATTAATTAAAAAAATAATAATTAATTTTTTATTATTTGAATTTTCATGTCAAAATATGTGACTTCATATCTCATTTTACTAAAGATTTTGCAAGAAAGAAAAAGAAAAAAATAAACAACAGCCTTCATGGAGTCTCCTTACTGCATGTTTCCATGTTCGTTTCTTCAATTTTGCCAAATTACAAGTAGGATTGCGTCCCAAAAAAACAGTAAGAGTAAAAAACCCTAGAAACCAAAAGAGAAAGCATGCTTGCGCATCCGGGGAATCGAACCCCGGTCAGTACCGTGGGAGGGTACTATGATACCACTACACCAGATGCGCTCGGTTGGTGAAGATGTCAGATTTTTTATATTATTCTTACTAACAAATTTAAATATCTTCATCATTCACGAAACGTAAGAGGGAAGAAATAAAAGAGTTTGTTTTGTTGATATTTTATTATCCAAATTTCAATGATTTTCTAAATATTAAAAATGACATTTTAAAACACAACAGAATTCTACATCTACCCCATAACCAAGGTTACCTTAACATATGAAGGAAGAAGAACCATGCTATTACCTTCACATACACATTCCAACAAAATGGTAAAAAAAAAAAAAAAAGAGAACAGAGAAAGACAATCCTGCTATTTTACTTCTTTTTCAAGACTTTTGCCATTATTCTACCGCGGGCAGTTTTCAAATCCATGCTAAACTTTCTTGATTTTCTTTTTCTTTTTCGTGAGTGTCGTGGCTGTTTGCTAGCTCGAATATTTTCCAGCCTTTGCCGACGAATCTCAGGATCAGCCCAGCCCTTTCCCCATTGTGAGAAAGTGGAAAAGGATCTGGTTTTTCTCAGGGAGAGAAGCATGTCTGCCTCAGGGTAAACATAGAAAGCTTGATCCCTTTCATACTGCACAAAATCCAGCCCCTTTCTCGTTGGCTCTGGGAATTTTATCTGAACATAGATCTGCATGAGATAATTAACGCAGTTAAAACAATGATGTCCAAATATATGGAACTGCATGATTGTGATGTTGCCAGAACAAGAGATGGAATTCTAGGATCCAAAACATGTTGATAACTACAATCACTGTTCTCATATGCATTATAACATGACTGTGATCTAAGTTATGTATTGTTCAGAGGACTCATTCCGGTTTTTGGTCCGGCAGTACTCTTAAAAGTTGAAACCACTAAACAAGAAGACTACTTCCAACACTATCTAGTATCTAGTCAGGCAACTGAGTTAAAATACCAAACCATATCTGATATTGATTGCCAGTTAGATAAAAATAAATAAATACCTCATCACATCTCTCTCTGATATATCCTTTTGCTTCCATGATTCGAGCAAGACCTTGCCACCAGAGCAGATCAGTGGCTAGAAATTTTTGGGACTGCTTGTGGCAATCACATAATATCCATCAAATAGCATGTGAGATTTCCTTTTACATATCCTAAAGCAATGTATGTTTATATAAAATGCATGTGTACTTGAAAGAGAGAGATCACCTGCTCCCTTATTTTACTAACAAACATTCGGAGGTTTGGCTTTGCCATGAGCTTTTGTCTTTCAGTATCACTACATATAAAATCATCATACAAGCCATCCTGAACATATGTGATAGAGATAGTCAGAGTTAAGAAAATATCCCCATTTTGGCCTTTTTACCATTCATAAACATGTAATTGTTCATTAGCTCCATGTCCTCTTCCAGAATTTAAAAGTTTTAGTTAGCCTTGGAAAGTATAGAAGTTATTGGATTCACCTGACTGGACATAATAAAATTGCGCCAGGAATCTGAAGTTGAAAGCATGCAGCAAAAATAAAGGAGAAGAACCAAACTAGGTAATAAAAATATATAGATCCTCATCCATACTAAAAGTCTAGACAAAAAATAAGGAGAACAAAACAAATTGATAAAAGGAGTTCCACCTAAAAATCGAATTGCTATAAAGAACTAAATTGCCACCAACACTTACATAATGAGCAGCAATAATTTGCATTAAAGTATTTGCCTCCTCTCTCAAATCCTGCATGTCAGGAGGTCCATCAACGCACACATCACACCTGGATAATAGGAGTTTTGTTAAAGGAGTTGAAATGACAGTGAACTATAAGAAATCACTCAATGTCAATGAAATTTTATGTTATTAATGGAAAAAAAAAATACAATATGAGAAATTAAGATAACATATTTCAAAAAATTAAAAAAGACCATTAGCCAACCATAAAAAATAACAAAAAAAGATTGCCCTTGATGAGAAGATTACACAAGATTACAGCTCCATCTTTGACAGGGTTTACTGTAGACTCTTCAAATTAATTTTTCCATTTTTTTATTTAATGTAAAAAGAAACATTAGAAACGATATTCCATGAGAACCTAGACCAGATGATTACATACAACAGACACTTCTCATAACCAAATTGCTCCCCAAAATACTCAACCAATGTTTTCGCTCGACAGCATGAAGTATTCATTCCATATCTGCAATTGAACAAAGTATTATGTTATAAAATATAAAAATGCAAAGGAGGTTGGTAAGCAAACAAGGTAGATGTCTCTAATGCAAACCTGAAGCAATCAGATAACATTTTATAGGCCTGCTTTTTCTGTTCTTCACTTCTTCGGCTTGGCAAAAGAGTAGGTACTCTTGATAGGTTCGCATACAAAACTGCTTTGCCATTAGACCAGGACAACAAAAACTTAGAAACTTTATACATGGATAGAGAACAAGCAGTTAATCAGTTGGCAATTCAGCTGAAAGAAATGTTTGATTTGATCACGATCATGACCAGTATTACAAAACCAAAAAATTGGCTTACTGCAATCTGCTAATTTCCCATCCCTTCCAGCTCGGCCTGCTTCTTGATAGTATGCTTCCAAACTCTGCAATCAGACTGAAGAGTTAAAGAAACTTGTACAATCAAATAACAAAAATGATATACTGCCCATGCAGGAATATAATTTGATGAAGACAATAAACACACAAATATCCAGACAAAAGTAGCAATCTGTCCCCAATTGATGGAAGTCCAGAAGTTCATAAGTTACTTTTAACATATATCAAGCAGTAAGCTCTATTAAGTCAAAAAGATAGACCTGTGGCCAACCATAGTGTATAATTCTTCGGACATTCGACTTGTCAATGCCCATTCCAAAAGCAATGGTTGCAACAACAACCTGCAGATGTGGAGAGGGAAGATTAGAGAAAAGGAAAATAAGGTGCTTGTCATGGATAAGGAATGAATAGAGTAAATTTTCTTTGAATGAAACAATACAGAAGTATACGACTATCAAGGCCGTCTCCAGGCAAATTTGATGGAAATATAGCAAAGTTAATGTTCAAATATAAGCTCAGATAGCTGCTATGATGAAAAAAATGCTGTTTCATGTTGGGGAAACAAAAAAATCAAAAGGGCTATAACCTAAAGGAAATACTGTTTGAAGATCCAGGGAAGTGACTACTGACATTTTTAGGAGAAAAAAAAAAAGTGACTTCAGAAGAATCTATATACTTTTCATAAGTTACAGCCCTATATCTGGTCCGATGGATATAGGTCTGATGGAGAGGAAAAAGAATTCATGTGGCTATCCTGCCTGTCTAGTATGAAGTTAGTACCTAATTAAGTTAATTTTATGGAAGAAAAACTGTAGGGAATAACATCAGTTAGATAAGATGGTAATGCAGGAAAGCTCCACTTGTCTTCGCCAAAGTCTGGGGAAAATCATACAAAGATGAAAATTAGGGAGAGTAATGTCAGTGAACACTGAAAATAGAAACTGGAAAATATAGATCCTAACCATTCATTTTCAAGCAAGTGCTGAATTTCTAGTCAGGTAAAGAATGTATAATTGATTTAAAAAAGAAAAAAAAAAATCAGATGAATATATTAACCTTGAGCCAACCAAATTACATTCAAACAATAAGATACCTAATGTTTTCCAAAATAACATTTGCATTCCATGATGACATTCACAGAAATACAAAATGATGTAGAATTACATTTCTACACTATCTATGTGTGAGCTGGAAACACATACCTCTAGTGAGTTTTCATGAAATTCTTTGTGAACCTTCCTTAGATGTGATTTTGGCAACTGAAGAAGAAAGTAAAAAAAGTGAGAAGAAAATGTCAAATATTTTTTGCACAGCAGACAAGAAACTAGCCAGTAGGAATTACCAAAGGCCAGGTGAGCTTAGTGCATAGTCATTAGAGCAATGTCTGAAAAACATTAATAAAAGGAGAAGACTAAAGACATCACACCAATAAAGCAAGCTCAAAGGAACTTGGTATTTGAAACAATTTTCACTCACTATACTATGGGGAGAATTATGGAGCATAAACAGTTTCTGCAGCACATTAATTGTAACACCTCTCTATTTTTCTTTCAAAAGTTTCAAGGAATTCAAATTAGGCCAAGACAGGTATAACATGAAGAAGAGTGCCAAAGGTCCAGATACCCATGTTATTAATATATATATATATATATATATATATATGAGTGATATTGAAAAGCTAATGAACAGTAAGAAACTTGAATATGATATCTATTGACATAAACTTGGAGGTAACTATTGTATCATACATACCGATGCATTGTAAGCAGCAGCTCTCACTCCAAAATCACAAAGATACTTGGCAATGCTCAAGGTTTCTTTCCTTGTTGGAACATATATTATTGTAGGCCCCTTCTCTAGAGGCTCTCCCAGAAGTTTCAATCCTTTCTCTAATTCATTTGGTTGATCAATTGTCTCAACCATCTCATTTGCATCCCAGTCTTCACAAAGAGCCTTTGCACAGAATTCACCACAAGCAACTGCAATAGTTGAACTGATCAAATAGAGAAACAGGCAGCAGACAAGTACTTTAAATACTAAATTACATATTTATGAGCCAAACCAATTTATAGAATTAAAAAAAAAAATCAAATTTTAAACGTCAGAAGAATGTTACCATCCCAATCATCCACACTCCGAAAAACATCAACATCATTTTCTAAATATTCAATTGACATTTCCTTCTCCTTTGAAACAGTAGAGGCATTTCCCTTTGTAGAATTTATTTCATCATCTTCACCAATGCCACCAGCCCCAAAGTCATCCAAACCACTTAGAAAAGAATGATCCGAATCAGACTGATCATCAAATTCTTGAGAGATTACAGTCTGTTTCTTTCCACCAATATTTTTCTTTCTGGCATACATGCCTATCAATTGGCTGAAATCCTTCTCATATGAAGATGATGAAGATGTTCTACTATGTTTTACCTGTAAAAAGAAGCAAGTAAATTCCAAATGTCTCCATAGAAAGACATTTGATAAAAAACATAACACATGAAGTAATAAAAAGATAACTGGATGGTGAAATCTTAGGCCAGCAACAGAAAAGAAAAGAACAGAACCAAAATCAACAGGGAAAAAAAAAAGGAAAGAGAAAAAGAACTGAAATCAGTTTACACTGTCTTCATAATATCAGTATAAACAACTCACAATATGAAGTTTGATTACAAAGAGACCAATAGCCCTGAAAACATGTTGAAACAAGCAAAAACTCACCAAGAACCGTAAATTTGGGCGAAAGAATGAAGTCAGCACAATCTTTGTTTCCTTTGACATGTGCAAAGAATTAATAATATCTTCTCGAACCTGAACTGTGGCAGTAGCAGTCAATGCCATCAGTGGTATGTCAATGAAATTTCCTCGCAACACAGACAATCGCCTGAAACAAAGGACTATATCTACTTAATTTATGTGATAACTTCAGTCATCAAAACTAACCATATTTCTTGTTCACTGAACAGACAAACTTTTAGTCAAGGTAACTGTTTTTCTGCTCACCCTTGTAAGTAACTGAGCATATTTTTATCACACATAGACAGAAAGTAAACATAAAAATCATATGGTCATATTGGTTTCTTTGGCAAAGAAAGATATTCAAATTGCCATGACTTGTCTCACTCTGCCATTGTGTGAAGCATGCAAGTTTTAGAGTCGCTAATTGTCATTTGGGACTGCTTGTACAAAAATCAAAGGCACTGATCTGAGTATATATATTGATGTTTTCAACATCCAATACCAGCAATATTGATTCAAATGATTCAGCAGAGAGAGAAAACAAACAAATTCAGAAGTGATGGGTACCTATAGTCTGGCCGAAAATCATGACCCCACTTAGATACACAATGTACTTCATCAATTGCAAACAGTGCAATTCCACGACTTTTTGCTAGCTTTTGCAGTGGCTCAACCAGTCTGCATGAAAAAGGCAGCACTTTTCAATAAAAAAGGGCAAAATAAAAATTAAACCTTCTTTTAAAAACAGGCCAGACGCCATACACACATCTCACCTTAGAATTGTCTCTGGACAAACATATATGATACTATACATGCCCCTCATTGCCTTCTGTTCCACACTGCTATCAGATTGCCCAGATCCAAGAAAACAAGAAGCGACCCCATGTTTTGATAGTTTTAAGCACTGATCATGCATCAAGCTTATCAAGGGTGAAACCACAACAACGACCTTCCCAGTCAATAAAGCTGGAATCTGAAAACATAGAGATTTACCTGCAGCAAGGTAAAATATTACCATCAGCCCAATATGATATTGGGGGGTAGAGCAAAACATAAGTGAAGCAAAAGAATGAAACCAGATCCTGTTGCAGCAAGTACTAGACAGTCCTGATGAGCTAGCCAAGCAGCTAATGCTTCCTTCTGGAAACTTTTCAAAGATGAATAACCAAAAAGCTTCTTCAACAGATTATTAACCTTCTCTTCCCAATCTGATCCAATGTCCAGCTTGTTCAAACAGCAAACTGGCAACGTTTCTGGGAGAGTTTCAGGGTTACAAGTAGCAGCAGGCAATAGTCCCTGGTCCACTTCCAAAGGACCAGGTACGACCTCTGATCTAGAGGCAGATGCATTAGTTATACCACTAACTCTGCCTCTGTTGGACTGGAAATGATCTAGAATGCTGGACTGCCGCGTTTGACCTATACAACGCGAAATTGAGTCTCTCTTGCCCTGCGACTTTCTGTTGCTCACACAAGATTTAGAACTAGTTGATGCTTCCTTACTGTTTCTACAACAGCCATTGAGAATATACTCAACTGCCGCATCAAGTGAGGGACCTACAGCTTTTACAGCTTCCATTATATCAGAATTCTCAAATCCCATTTCAGTAAGGCTTTCAATAACTTGTTTAGAAGATTCATCGTTGCCACCCATAACACTTCCTGATTGAAAAAAACCACAATGCCCAAATTCAGGGATAATCTCCAAAAGAATACAAAACAACAATAAATTTAACACAAACATTCAATACAAGTTGCGAATATTAATAAACAAATTTCATACTTCCAGATACCACTGAAATTGAATGGAAAGATAAATTTAAGGGCAAAATCAAATGAAAGTGTAATGAAGATCAACAAATAAGATGAATGTGTAGGATTTTCACCTATTTGGATTGTAATTGAGAACCTCGTCAAATAGAAACCCTAATTTCGTTCCAGATCGACTTGCGAAAGCTCCAAGGAGGCTTCTGAGACGGAGAAAATTGAATTCGCCGCGATGCTATTTTCCCAACGCGCCAAAAAGACTCGACGCTGCCATTAGTATTACTGCTCTTTTTGGTTTTCATCGTCAAGAAGCTTATGAAATACTTCATCTAAACGGCACCGTTTAGAAATAGAATTCCTTTGTATATATTTTTTTTCATTTTTGTGAGGACACTTTATATTATAATGTTTTATAATGCCATACAATTTAAATTATGGAATAATAAAATCTCACATTTAATTGCCTTCAGATATTTCCTCCAATTTTTAATTTTATATCAATGTTAATATTAACTGATTAAAAATTCATCATATACTTAAAAATATAGAAAAATTCAATGTTTTTTAATATAGATTGCATAAAAAAAGTAATTCAGATATTAAATTTAAATTACAAAAACATCTTTAATGAAACCTTACAAAGTAAAGTCATAGTTCTTCATTAAAGGTGATTTTGTAATTTTAGTACTTTAACTGCACCTTCTTCTTTTTTTTTTTGCCCAGTCCACATGAAAATAACAATTTTTAATAAAAAAAAATAGCATTATGTTCTAAAAATACATCTAGATAAATTGGTATAATTTTCTCATAGCCTAGGTTACTAATAATAATATAAGAAACAGAAAAATCTCAAACCCCTAAAGAATTTACAATTCATCATTAGGCTCATCTTCTTCAAAATGAGCTGAGCTTTCTCCACTCTTCTCATAAATCTGTTTGATAACTGGGGTACAAACAGATTCCACCTCCTTCATCTTCTCATCAAAATCCTCCTTTTCTGCGTTCAGGTTATCATCCAACCATTCCAGGGCTTCCTTCAATGTGCTCTCAATCTTCTCCTTGTCGTCAGGATCGATTTTGTCACCCATCTTGTTGTCATTGACGGTATTCTTCATGCTGTAGATGTATGTCTCAAGCTTGTTCTTTGCATCAACCTTCTCCCTCACCTTCCTGTCCTCCTCTGCAAAGTCCTCTGCTTCCATCACCATCCGGTCAATCTCTTCCTGGCTGAGCCGCCCCTTTTCGTTGGTTATGGTGATGGATTGTGACTTCTTTGCCGCCTTATCCTCTGCTGTCACATGGAGGATGCCATTGGCATCCACCTCAAATGTGACCTCTATTTGTGGCACTCCCCTGAAACAACATTGGTTGAACATCAGACATCATCCCTTATAGGACTACTAGAGATAGACTGCTAGAGAATGAAACTTAAATCTCAACTTTTTACTTACCTTGGAGCTGGTGGAATACCAGTTAGATCAAACCTTCCAAGCTCGTGACAATCCTTCGTTAGGCTTCTTTCTCCTTCAAAGACCTGAAATTTTTTTGGATATGTTGTTAGTCCAACAGCATCAAGGTAACAACAATTTTTCACAAGAATTTAAAAATGGATGATTAATCCTTTTATATCATACCCTGATAGAAACTGTGGTTTGTTGGTCTTGATAAGTGGAGAAAATCTGAGACTTCTTAGTTGGGATGTTTGTGTTCCTAGGAATTAACTTTGTCATCACTCCACCAGCAGTTTCAATACCTAGACTCAAAGGAGCAACATCAAGCACAAGAATTTCTGCAAAATCCAAAGTAAAAAACTTGTCAGGGATCATTCATCAAAACACACAATTCAGCATGTACGTAATGAAGATACAAAGATGCAAGTCATTAGTCATTACCACTGCCTTCGCCACTAAGAACTCCACCCTGAACTGCAGCACCATATGCTACAGCCTCATCTGGATTGACACCCTTGTTGGGTTCCTTCCCGTTAAACATTTCTTTCAACAATTGCTGCACCTTTGGAATCCTAGTACTTCCTCCAACTAACACAATTTCATGAATATCAGTCTTCTTTAGACCGGCATCCTCCAAAGCCCTCTTGACTGGTCCCAGTGTCTTCTTAAACAAGTCTGCGTTTAATTCTTCAAACCTTGCCCTGGTCAATGGCTCGGAGAAATCAATCCCATCAAATAGAGCTTCAATCTCAACTCGAACTTGGTGCTGGCTACTCAATGCCCTCTTAGCCCTCTCACATTCCCGACGAAGCTTCCCAAGAGCCTTGCTATCATTGCTGATGTCTTTGTTGTACTTCCTCTTGATCAACTTGATGAAATAATCCATTAACCTGTGATCAAAATCCTCTCCTCCCAAGTGGGTATCTCCATTGGTGGCAAGTACCTCAAACACACCATTATCAATGGTCAAGATACTAACATCAAACGTACCCCCACCAAGGTCATAAACCAATATGTTCTTCTCCTCCCCCTTCTTATCCAATCCATAAGAAACCGCAGCTGCTGTAGGCTCATTGATTATCCGAACAACATTGAGTCCAGCAATGGCACCAGCATCCTTAGTAGCCTGCCTTTGAGCATCATTGAAATAAGCTACAACAACACAAAAAAAAACAGAAACACATTATAACCTTAAAACCCCATCTCTAGTTATCAAAAACAAAAACACAAACAAGGCTTACCGGGGACTGTGATAACAGCATCTTTAATCTTCCTACCCAAGTATGCCTCTGCTGTTTCCTTCATCTTTGTCAATACCATAGCACTGATCTCCTCAGGACTAAACACCTTAATCTCACCCTTGACTTCCACTTCTATATAAGGTTTTCCATCTTTGTTGATCACCTTATATGGTAAAAATTTTATAATGCTTTGAACCTCCGGATCACCAAAGCTAATATCAAACCAAAATCGAACACAATTCAGTTAACTCCCAATACAACTGAAAATTAAAATAGCAATAAGAAGGCAGAAATCATGTTCGCTTACTTTCTCCCAATTAGACGTTTAACGTCAAAGAGGGTACGAGCTGCGTTTAGAGGCGCTTGATTCTTGGCCGCCTCTCCAATGAGACGCTCGGTGTCAGAGAATGCAACCCATGATGGGGTGATTCTGTTCCCTTGATCGTTTGCTATAATCTCTACGTTACCGTTCTTATACACTCCCACACAAGAATAAGTAGTCCCGAGATCGATTCCAATCACAATATCCGGTTTCTGTTCTTCCGCTGCTACTGCTATCCCCAGCAGAAACTCTTCAAAAACAAAACAGGAAGAGTTTCAATGCATCAGATGAAGCATAATGAAAGCAGTTTCAAAAAGGAGATTAATCTCGGAAGTGTTTCCTACCTGAAACGAAGAGAAGAAGAAACACAAACGCCTTGGCGGCCTTGCTCTGGATCCTCATTCTGGGTTTCTGTTGTTGCTTCCCCTGTTTTCCTCTCTTTTCTTTGAAGTGAAGAAGAGAGAAGCTTTGAGGGGGATTTTATACTGGACGAGAACACAATCAGTATTTTGTTTGGTTTGTACTTTATAGTTCTTCCAGCGTTGCTACACGTAAATCAGCCAATGAAAAGTGAGACGTAGTAGATAAGAAGACGTAGAACTTGACCAAATTTCAAATCTGCCAGAATTATGAAACCGTAAGAAGTCTTCAGTATTCATATGCCTGTGTGTAAGTTGCAGGGTTGAGGGGTAGACCAATTCTAGCCTAATTTGATGAAGAGTAGTGATCCAGCTGACAAAAATTTAGAAAAGTTACATAAGTCTTGTCATCAAATAAAGTTATATATATAATATTATATATTTTAATAAAATAAAAATAATTTATTATTAAATAATATATAACATAATGCATATTACGTCGTTAATTCTAAATTATAATTATAAAATTTTGGTAACGTCTGGTGATGGGATACGAAAAACCAATTAAAGTTGGGAAGTCATCTGAATCTTCCAATAAGAATCCAACAATATGGATTAAAAATCGAACAGGGAGAATTTTTTGAATGCTTTTGAGATTTTTTTTTTTTATATAATTTGGAAATTAATCATTTATAGGCTATTTAGTATAACGGTTTAAAATTAATAATTTATAATTTTATCTAATTTAATAAATAAAAGTGTTTGAATTAATAATAATAATAATAATAATAATAATAATCAATCATCAAATTAAACAAAATTATTAACTATTAATTTCAAATTATTAAACAACCCTTTAATGTCCCAAAAATTTGATCTCAAATCAAAAGTTAATAAGTATCAATTAGACCAAGTGGTTTTTTTAATACTAATTCTATAGTATTTAGAAGTTATATTAAATTTTAATTAATTTAAATTTGAGTCGTATTAAGTCAAATAAAAAAAGAAAAAAAAACTCTCTTAGCACATAATTTTTCATTCATAGAACTCAAATTTGATATTTAGTTTAAAGAAAATTGAACTTCTTTTACTTAAACCAATAAGTTGTTTGTCAATTATATGAAGCTATTGTTGGTGAATGCTTTTGAGATTGTATATGTGCTTGGCAATTTGATTTAATGCATATCCAAGGGAATATGTAAATTGAAGTTTAACATAAATGTTAATTAGACCAATAGGTCGTTTGTTAATTATACAAAGCTATTGCTGGTGAATGCTTTTGGGATTGTATATGTGCTTGGCAATTTGATTTAATGCATATCCGAGGGAATATGTAAACTGAAGTTTAACATAAATGTTAATTAATGTTTAAAAAAAACAAAAAAAAAAAACAAAAATATTATGTTGCACAATATACAGTAATATGTCTCATATCTTTACCCACTCCACTAAATGCAGATTATTGTTTTTGAGAATTTAAGGAACTACTTAGGTACAGCTGTTGTGGTATATATTTTTGGAGGAACAATGGATTAGTTGGACGGCTTAAATAAGAAAACATATTGTGTCTCAGGCAAAAATACTTAATCAGGACTTAAACTGTTCGGATAATTCATATTAGTCCAACACCTTCATTGGACTAAAAGCCCAAGCCATAAAGTCCATGAATGGAAGCCCATTCTAAGAATATATAACAATAGGACTGGTTAAGTCCTAGTGTCCCCCCACGTGGGCCATAATCCTTGACCATGGGTTTATAAATTCTCCCAACCACTTTCCTCTCAGGAAATGACTACCTTCAAATCTCTTTTATGTAATACATCTGAGAGCTTCTCTTTCGATCAAGGGAGTCAATATTATATTGTATCAGTATATGTATTCATTTTACTATTAAAATGGTACATATTAAATATTAAAATTTTTTGCATATCATTTCGAGGAATTTATCATTATAAACTCACTAGAATTAAAATTGAATTTTACATTATATAAACTTTGAAAATACAAAATATTAAAAATAAAAATAAAAAACTTACCAAAATATGATCTATTATAAAATCACATATATCTTCTTGTTGTTGCTTAGAAAGTGGAAGAAATAAAGTTGGAAGAAAGAGTAGCAACTGGGCGAGCATTGAGGAGAATTGGAAGTCTAAATTTGAAACTATCAAAGGGTTTTTGTCGGAGATTTAAGGCTTTTAAGCCCCTACTAGTGAAAACGACATGGTTTTGCTTGGAGATTTTTCTTTTTTAATTTGAACTGATTTATATTTATTTAATTTTGATGTACCAATCAATACATAAAATATTGATCGATACACCAAAAATTGATCGAAACATTCAAAATTTAATTAAAACTGAATTAAAACTTATACCATTTTGGATTAATAAAAATACGAAACAGTATCAACTCCTTTGTGATATTAAAGGGTTGTTTAGTAATTTGAAATTTATATATTACTAAATTTAATTGTTCTGTTCTCATATAACTATATATAATTTTATTTTATTTACTTTTTTTTTTTAGTTGAATCTTGAATGCAATTACAATTCAAATTATTGAAGGAATTGGGCTTTCGAGGAATGCAAAAAAGCCTAAAGGACGCCCAAAGATTTGTTCCGTTTAATGTGAGCCTTAGAATTAAAGAAATTATTAAGTAGGATTATTTTTTTTTTTTAATTCTGTAAATATCAGGGGGAATTCCCCTTTTTATGTTGAAATGTTGACTTGATGGTTGACGCCACAGGCGGTATATACCATATACTTCTTTTAAGAGGATAATTGTGGAGGAAAGAGAGTTGGTCGGGTCCCACCCTTCCTGCTCCTTTTTGA